AGGGTGAAAATCTTATCTGAAATTTGAAATTCACATGAAATTTGAAATTTGAAATTTATCTGGAATTTGAATTTTGAAATGTATCTGAAATTTGAAATTTATCTGAAATTTATCTGAAATTTGAAACCGAAAATCTGATCCGATATGAATAGTATTGACACATAGGAACCCAAAAATCTTATCCGAAAATATTATCCAAATTAATTGTTTAAGTAAACAAAGTTGTGAAAAAAACAAAAAAATGAATAGTATTTGCCATGGCAAGCCTTGCATTGCTGGAAACACAATTTTTTTTTTGCCCTAGGGCAGACACTATTCACGTGAATAGTACTTGCCCTAGGGCTCCACTTGCCGTGGCAAGGGGCTAACTGGGGGAAGTGCTCTAAGGGATGATTCTTGGGGTCCCCTGCAAATGTGTCCAGGTGGCAGCGCTAGCGGTCGTCCTGTCAGCACCCTTTAGAGGCACCACATAAGCCCTAGTTTGTCCAAATGTGTGGCAAAAGAAGACAGGATTCTCATCGGTCAGCTTGTGACACAAAATGAAATTGCCACCATCGTTCACCTTCTTCACGCCAGGCTTTACTGTCTACTTCTGCAGGGTGGCTCCCTTTTCGACCTCTGTCGAGAATGCTTGAACGTTTCTTCCCAGCTTGGACATGGCGAAGTCAGCCATTGACTCCAAGGAGGTGGCGCAATATCTGTCCTCTCCATTAAGGGTTCCACTTTCACAATCTTGAATGGTTTCCTGAATTACAGCAGCTTCCACGGGCGTTGGCTCCATAGAAAATTTGTTGAGAACTTCTGGCAGTTTTGCGGAAGAGAAGGGGATCGATTGAGCAATTTTTCGGGGCAGGGGACATGCCCCATTTATATTTCTAACTAAGCTATATTTCATGGTTGTGCCGGGTTGCATTTCCTTCTCCAAGAAGAAACTTCTTTGCGTTGGGTCTCTGGCAGCAGCAGCATAGCTTGCCCTCGCCAACAGTGTGAGCTGCAACAGTTGAAGTTGAACTATCATTAGTATGAAAAAAAAAAAAAATACTGAAATTCATAGAGAATTTTTAAAACACAGAGCTTACGGTGAGAAAAACAATTATGTGTGAGAGGCAGAACTCCATTTAAGAAACTCAAGTATGCAACAGAAAAGCTACTGGATCGATGGAATTAACAAGAAGAAACTCAGATCTAGCTGATCGTTTGGTAAACAACATGGCATGGGGCTTCAAGCTTTATAGTAGATGGGGATCTCAACTTGCAATACTTGTCGTGATTAGGTGTAAGACTTCCAGCCCCGCCCATTTGCTTGTCGATGACACCACAATGTATGATGTGGCTTGAAATTTTGTTCTTTCTTTCTTTTTTTTGTGGGACGCTAAAATTTTTCACTCCCTCGTGAATATTTCAGACTCCCTCTTATATTTTTGGCCAAAAATTAAACTCCCTCTCATCTCTTTTGCGATACCCAGTCATAGTCACTCTCATCCTTCTCACCTTCAAACTCCCTTTCTTCTCTCTTGTGATACCCGCAGTCACCCTTAACCCTATCTCGCTATACCCACAGTCACAATCACTCTCTCATCCCTCTCACCTTCAGCATCTCTCTTCTTCACCGATTTCTTCTATGTGCTCCATCTCTGTCGTCATCTATTTCTAAACCCTAAAAGAGAGAGCCATGGAAGTCTTCCTCGTCGTCGAGAAGAGCCATCGGAGTCCCTTCATTAACCTTCGTCGTCAGTGTCCTCTTCCCCAACGGAGTCCTCTTTCTCGTCATCATCGTCCTCTAGGTGAGATTATTTCAGTTATGATGCGTTTGGATGAGGGAAATAAACTTGGGATTTTGACAAAACTCAGAATTTCTAAATTGACATGAACCAATTTCGGTGTTTGGATAAAAAAAAAACATAGAAATTTAGAAATTCAGCGTGGAGAAAAAAATGGAATTTGGAGATCATAAATCCCAAGTTTAAATTCTATCTAAAAGTCGTCATTTCTAAAATCTCAAGAGAAATTGAGTTTTAAAAAACGATAACATTACAAATAAAGGTTAAATTCCGTGTTTTAAATCAATCATCTAAACAAGAAACTTTACAAATTCTATAACATTAATTTCTGTCATTTTAAATTCTGTCAATTATGAAATCCTTTGTACTTTTAAATTTCCTCATCCAAACGCACTGTTAGGGTTTCAATTTATTGGGTAATTTCTGGATTGTTGTCTCTTTGTCCTTCTGTCTAATCTTACTTTATCTTGTATATTTGAAGCATCAAAAAGAAAAAAATTGTAGTCTTCCAGACAAATTTCTTCTTCTTCTTTGCAGACAAATTCACGCGTTTAACTATTTATTCTATATATTCTTAGAAAGCTCTGTTAAAATATATTTATGCAGGTTGTTGGTGCGAACAAAGGTGGAGTGGTAGCTGTGGTTAGAGGTTTTGTTCCTTTCTCACAGATATCGACAGTTAGTTCTTTAACCTGGCTTCTAATTTTCCAAGCGTCTTCTTAGCTTGATATTTACAATATCTTTCTGATTGCATTTTCTTATGTGGTAAAATAATACAGTTGTAACTTGTAAGTAATAATAGCCAAAATGAACAGGCAGTGATTCTCCATTACATTTTTCGCTTCTTTCTCCCGAAATTGTTTTCAATCCTGCATTCGGCTGTCACTAGCATAGTTTTAAATTTTGATCACATTTAGCCCTTAATGTTTCAGTATCTGAGTTTGTCAAATTTACTTTTGTATATCTTAGAAATCAACAGCAGAAGAGCTTCTTGATAAAGAGATTCCTCTGAAGTTTGTGGAGGTTGATGAAGAACAGTCCAGGCTTGTCCTAAGCAACAGTAAGGCCATGGCAGAGAACCAAGCGCAGCTTGGAATTGGATCAGTTGTCCTGGGAACTGTTCAAAGCCTGAAGCCATGTGGTGCCTTTATTGACATTGGTGGAATCAACGGCCCACTTCATGTTAGTCAGATCAGTCATGACCGAGTCTCTGATATTGCAACAGTTCTCCAACCTGGTGACACTCTCAAGGTATAGATACTATATCCTAGGACAGTTATTGGCTGAGAATTTGTTGCCACTCTGTTAAGCATTTCTAAACTGCTACTCTTTGTGTAGGTCATGATATTGAGCCATGACCGTGAGAGAGGCTGTGTAAGTCTTTCTACCAAGAAGTTAGAACCTACTCCTGGAGATATGATTCGCAATCCAAAGCTTGTCTTTGAGAAGGTATTTTCTGGATAATAAACTCCAAAGATCTTTACTAGTTGCACTTACGGGATTGTTAATTCTAGTAGTGAAGATCGGTCTTGTCTTCTTGTGTTTTTTCCCCAGTAGATATTAGTTTCTCATAGTGTACATGGTCTTATAATCTTGTAGTCTGACAGGACAAGAAAAGCTAAGTTTTATCATGTGTTTGTGTTTTGTTCCAAACATAATTGTACACTTGTTAGCTTTCCTGAAACCAGATAAATGACTGTATATATGTTTGTGATTTGTTCCAATAGGAGGAGGAGATGGCGCAGACATTCAGGCAGAGAATTACTCAAGCAGAAGCTATGGCTCGTGCAGACATGCTCCGTTTCCAGCCTGAGGTACTTACTGCGTTATTTCCTAACAATAGGTTTTATGACTTGATCTGAACATAAAATGGAAGAACGAAGGCTAGATTAGGAAACCAAAATTAGATGAACTTAAATCAGCTTTTCAGGCAGATGAAAGTAGCCATCCAATGGGAAAATTTTACAGATATTATTAATGAAGCATTTATTTTAGCCATACTTTCTTAGATTCTTGGCATTTATTTTGGTACTTTTTTAGTACAAGTGACTTGTCTCTTACAGCCCTTTCGATAAATTTTCTCAAAATAAAACAAGGATTAGGTGGCCATTCTTAATTTTAACTCCTAATGCAGAGATGTACTTAGTGTCGTATATGCTCTGTATTTGATTCTAAAAGATGATTGTATGCAATCAATTGATTTGAAATACAAAATTGCTCTCCTGTTTGGAGGGCAACGACAATGATCTGTAGCTATTTGGCCAAGTAACCATCTGGCCTTGCCTCCCAATTGCTCTCTCTCTCTCTCTCTGTATCTCCATCTATCTCAGCTTTAGGCAGTTCATGCGAAAAATATATACTCTTTGTTCAACTTTCCAGAAATCCAAACTTGGCCTTTAAAGTTATGATTTTGTTATTGCTTATCTACTTTCTAAACTGCTCTCTGTTACTAGCAACATTTGGTTCACGAACGTCAAATGCGTCATTGATTTTCTTCCACTTCAGGTTCCTATAGATTCTTGCTACATGGGTTCTAACAACTCTGCCTTCCTACAACAGGTAGCTTGTCTTTAGAGCATCTTTGTGATAGATATTTTTTGTAGAATTTGATGTGTCATTATCTTTATTCTTCTGTTGGCTGTACTAAAATGTTTCTGATGGATGAGTAACATGCTTCATACATTATATCTAACTTTATTCTTCTGTTGGTTGTATTGGTAGCTTTGTTATACATAATAATGTTCTTTCCCTTCTCGCTTTTTTGAAGACTACGCAAGCACTGGTAGAGCATTATAGCCGCAAAGGATGGTTACAGCTTTGAGGTGACCTGTTTTTTGTGTGGATGAATGTTAAATATAAAACCTTATTGTGCATCGTTTCTTAAAGATTTTATATAGTTTTTCTTTAGCTTCTTGTTAAAGATTGTGCATTGCTTCTTGTTAAACCTTATTTATGCTTTTACTATTTCTATTTGGATACCATTCTGTTTAAAACTGTTTGAATACTCTGGTTTGGTCTTTGAGAGTTAGTAAAAAAACTTTGGTTCTTTGTTGGCAACTGTGGAAAATATTGTGATGCAATTTTATTTAAATGATGGAAGGTCAATGTTGTGCTTGTAATTTTCATTGCAATGGATGGCTTAGAGTGTAAATTTGATGCTGTTTGTTTGGAGTTTTTTGTGTCTGCATGGTTTTTTACTTTGTGTGATTCATATTCTCAAATAGAGAATCCAATAGTTGGTTGATAAATGCATCACAATGATATAGTTTTAAAAGATTTTGAGCCCATTATTCTGTTTTAGGTTCAGCCACCAATATTAAAAGCCGAAATTCAAGCTCTAAAATAAATTATTTAGTACAAATCCAAGGTAACCAACTTACTTTATTAGATTATGCTTGTTTTAGCCAATTAATCATTACTTTTGGATTATATTAACTTTAGTCCCTAATTCTATTGTAGCCTACCTTCAGTTTTTTTGAGTCTTTGTTAAGGATTGGATGATTGGGTTCAGCTGAAATACCAAAATATACATATATATATATATATATATTTGAATTAACGCGTCGCATTTTGACAATAAAAACTTATATATAACAACTTTTGTTTACATTTACGCTACTATATTGTCACAGATAGTTCCATTTTGACAAGAAAGTTTTTGGCGGCGCAGTTTAATGAGATATAGTCTCATTTTGACGAGAAAGTCTTTGATGACGTAGTCTAATGTGACAATCCCACTTTGACCAGAAAGCCTTTGATTGTGCAATCTGATGTGATAATCACACTTCGACCATTCACTGAGAGCTTTCGGCATCAGTTTGTTTGGCAGGATGGAGTTCCAGTAAAGCAGTTGAGGTACTAAAGGTAAAGCAGCAGCATGGTTTGGCCTTGCCACCAGTGCGAGCTGCAACAACAGTCGAAATTGAACTAATATCATAGGGAAAATTCAAACTACAGAGCTTACAGTGAGAAAACCAAAGTCATCTTCTCGAAAAGATTACCGTTAGGATTAATTCAGTTTGGTTCTCGAACTGGTTACATAATAATCGAACCATATTCCTTTTAATAAGCTTTTAAGCAAGTATTTGTGTTCTCTTACGTTACTGGATAAATTTTCATATTTGTAAATTGAACAATATTTGAATAAACTTCTTACCGTATGCTGAATTGGAGAAATTCTTAGAATTGTAGTTTTGGTATTAAATGTTGTTTGTTGGATGAAACATAATATTGCATTGATAACTAATACTATGAGTCTATTTGTGGAAAGCCCAACTTGAACTTAGCACAATCTTGGCTAAGGGATTAGATACAAAATTGGCTTCCCTATAGACATGAAAAATATAACATGAATAACTTGGCACCCAACTGCTCCAGGAACTCGGATAAAGGACGCATCGCACCACCAACCCTAAAGCTGAACATTAAAAAAAGAAGAAATTTGACCCAAAAGAGAAGAAGAAAGAAATTAATACAGATGGTTTACAGTAAAAGAGAACATTTAAGAAATAAAAAATTTAAATTTAAATTTTAGCAAACATCCTCCTTAATTGGATTATTTTCACACTCAATATTACTACCTCGTGCCATGAATTACCCACTGAAGCTTTTCTCATTCTCAAGCATGTAGCATTAACACATTAATAGACACAAAAAGAGAAATTTTGTAAAATAAGCAAAAATATACAAAATTACCTTTATTTATTTTTGGATTTCCTAAGGAATCCTTTACATTTGCATGTCTTTGATTTGAAAGTTGAGAGGTTTTTCTGTTTTTTTCTAAAAAGCTTTGGCTTTTTCTAAAAGTGAATTTTTTTTTTTTTGGCTAAAACCTAAATTTACTTACTTTTTTTTTATTATAAAACAATTTGAAATAACACATCATATTTGATGACAAAAACTGATACGTAGCAAGATATCATGACAAAACAAGCTAACTAAATATGTGATGTTCAATAAATAAAAACTAATCATTAAATTTTAACATGTATCATCTTTATAGTATTACACTGTCATATGACAGTTCCACTTTGATGAGAAAGTCTTTAATGATGCAATTTAATCATGTCATTTGTGCGATTATTTTCACAAATAAAGAAAATTACCCAACACGATATTGATCTCACCTCCAATCTAGAGGATCCCCTTTCTTGTGACACTCCAACTTTGACAAGACAATCTTGCTTGACATGTTCTGATTACGTCACCCGTGAAAATATTCTCATAAAAATGAGGACTCCTAGTATTTTGGTTCCACCCCAATTACCCTAATTCCACTTCAAATACAAAGAATTCATTTTCTTGTGAAGAGAAATTATAGAATGGTATTGCACTCGTGATGATATCGGACTGCCAAGCAAGACCCTCTACACCTTGACCTTGACACCCATTTCCTAATCTTTCACATGCCAATTCACACTCGATATCTCTCTCTCTTTCCCCTGCACGCAAAACTTTCATTTCACTTTCCCCTCAGTGCAAAACTTTCATCTCTTTCTATTTATCGGATTCACATGGTAACTTGTCATCTTTCTAATTTGGTTTTTAAAATTCTGACCAACCCCTGTTATGGTTTTCAAATGCTTGAAAATCGATTTTCTTTTGAACCAGCCTCACCACATCACTCTTCATGATTACGCCGATTCCATGGGTTTGGGTGGCAAGGTAACCTATCAACTTGTTTGATTAAACGAAATAAATTTCATGTTGTGATTATAAATAATACGTCTCTGCCCCTACAAAGCTGCCCCTGTTTTAAACCCGCGAGATAGATTTTTAGAAAATTCCATGTAAGTTTTTTCTTGTTTAAATGCGATTATTTATATATTTTGTTTTCCTTAATTATGTGTGGTTAATTTTTACTTGGAATTTTTTGGCAATAACATGCTGTACGAGTATAGGTTGAATTACATAGTAACAATAAGTAATGGAGCGGATCGATTTAATTTCGAACTTTTTACATTAAGGTGATCATATGTAGAGCTGATTGGTTTGAAATAAGGGAGACTTTGGAAAAACACAAAGGAGAGAGAAATTTTGTAAAACAAGCCAAAATAGACAAAATTGCCCTTATTTATTTTTGGATTTCCTAAGGAATCCTTTACATTTGCATGTCTTTGATTTGAAAGTTGAGAGGTTTTTCTGTCTTTTTTGAAAAGGTTTGGCTTTTTCCAAAAGTGAAATTTTTTTTTTGGCTAAAACCTAAATTTACTTTGAAGAATAATGTAGATTTCTGACTTGGGAACCGGACTATATGAAGGAACTGACAGATGGGATCGGAGTGATTCCTAGCTTAAGTTTGAGCACTTGGAAAGGTCAAGTGCTTTGGGTTCCGCTCTATTATGATTTGGCTCCCCCACACACACTGCCCTGCGTCACACGCTTCGACGACAAAAATTTATATATAACATAGCATAATAGTATGACAAACCAATCCAGTAAAAAATGTGATATGTTAAAAGAAACAAAACCTAATCATTAAATTTTAACACATGTCATATTTATGCTATTACACTACTTTAACTAGAAATTTTTTGGCGCGTAGTCTGATGTGACACTCTCACTTTTATAAGAAAGTCTTTGACGATGCAGTCAGATGACGTTATATGTATCCTTGATATTTAAAAAAAAAAACTGCTAAAAAAAGTTTACTTTATTTATTTATTATAAATATAGGGCCATTTTAATACAATGTTTAAGCCTTTAAGCCCATTTTACAAAACCCAACCCGTTAGTTATATTAAAAATTAGGGTAGATGTCTTCTTCTTCCCAGTGTGGCCTGCACTCCTTCCTCTCGTTGTTTCGACTTCATCTCTCTCTCTCTCTCTCTCTCTCTCTCTCTCTCTCTCTCGGTCTTTCTTCTTGCAGCGCCTTAGTGCCGGCAGGCGCTAGGAGGCCTAGGCGGGCTCTAGGCGGCCTAGGCGGCGCCCAACTCCCTGGCGGCTACTCCTTACTATTAGGATGAAATCGCAGCGGTGGCCTCCCTCCTAGCACCTTGAATGTATCGGTTTGAAATGCTGATCAAAGCTATGCACCTTGCATAGGAAATTGACTTCCGAAAGATGTTCTCTCCGGTGACAAGTAAACACATGTAATGCTATCACTTCCATAGTAAAAATAAATTTAACCTGCCGTTTAATGAAGTTGAATTACAATATGAGAGAGAATAAAAAACAAGATGAATTCCAATAGCTGTTAATTGAAGCAGTTTCCCAAATAATTGATGGCCTCATTCTCATTTCATCCATCTCTCTGCATAATTTCATTCTGATGCTTCTAAAACAGATCAAAGCATGGAATCACATTCTGTTCTCACATGGCTCCTGGTAATATCCATAACACCAGGGCAGCCACAGAGGGCCATAGTGAGCTCAAACTCATCTTTCAGCATTTCGATAACCCGTCTCACGCCGTGTTCTCCGTTTGCTGCAAGGCCATAGATTACAGGCCTTCCAACCTGCAGCAACATTAGCCTGTACATTTCAATAAGAAAATCCAAAACAATACAAGCAGTTTAAGGGTTCATATTGTTGAAAATTTAGATCTGCCCGTTGGGTCCCACTCTAACAACACCGATACTGTCCCCACTTTACCACCCGCCCAATCCGTCAGGTGTGAGGTTTTTATCACAAAAGGCCTCGGTATTAGTTAGAGTGTGGTAATTCTATTTAAACCCATTTGTTTTCTTTCACCCCACCGATGTGGGATTCCAACACATATCAGAAGGGCAGCTTGTATAGATATAGATATCTTACAAGGACAGCTTGTGCACCCAAGGCTAATGCCTTGAACACATCTGTTCCTCGCCTTGCTCCTCCATCAAGCAGAACAGGAACTTTTCCTCCAACAGCATCAACTTCCTGAGAACATTACAGATGTATATGATTGGACATTCTTACAACTTTTCCAATGGGAGAGTTTCTTTTAAAGACTCCTTTTTTCTTCAGATCCTATTTCGGTTTAATACAAGCTTAGCCATGCGTAAGTTAGGCCATGTTTTTGCTTACAGGTTACACCAGAAAACTACGAATTAGAAATAGAGTTCTACCTCTTCCAGGACAGAAATGGTGGTAGGAGTATAATCTAGTTGGTGGCCTCCATGGTTGGAGACAACAATCCCAGCAACAACTACTTCCACAGCCTTTCTTGCTGAAATGGTAGAAAGAAGAACACCTATTCAGAAGGGCTAATGCCAAATTTGACTTCAAGTGTCAATCCAATGTATTTCACCGAGTCGATTATTTTGACTGATCATCATGCCTTGAATACCGGGAGAAGTTAACATTTACGAGACCTTTTCCTTCTTACGCAAATTGATCTTTCCCTTTATGAGTTAATACTTACAAGACGTAGAGATAAAGATACGATCATTTGGAGCCTTGATCAGTTCATCTTACCAACTTCATGAGTGAGTACTCCCTTGATCAGAATTGGCAAGTTTGTAATAGATTTCAACCACTCTATGTCCTGCATGCATACGCGACGCAATAACTAAAAAATTGAGAAGAAAAGAATGTTAGTGTTTTGAGTGTGTGAATGGAGAGTGACGAAGGAGAGAAGGAACGAGAAGAGAAAGACTGGCAAAAACTGCTCTGCTATACGTGCAGCAGAGGAATTTTCATTTCTGTTCAATCTCTCAGCCTCACGCACTTGGAGTGAGGGAATATAACCGTTAGGCACAGTAGCTGGACTGGATCCCTTACATCACAAGGTGATCTCAGCCATTCATTTAGACATCCAATAGGATCTTTACACTTGGCTTGTAAAATTAAAGGAAACGAAAAACTGTTTTAACTAACTAATAAGTCAGCTTAAGAACTTATAATTCAACAAAGAAACCAGGTAGAACACAGGCCCAGAAATGAGTATAAAACTTCACTTTAATGGATGTCTTATAGCCTCAATCTCTGCAGAAAGTTACAAACTTACACCTGAGTAAAGTCTGTACAAATCATGCATCTTCATAGTGTAATCCCAAAAACAGAAATTAAAAAAAAAAAAAAAATTAGCCTTAGAGTAAAAAGATCTGTAGCATAGAACACCGAATCATATGACTGTGTAATGAGAAGACTCATCTGATTCATACCTCCCAGCACAAAGAAGCATCAAACGTCTCTTTGACAAAAGCTTCCACTTTCGATCCTTCATCATGCAGAGTTAGTGTCATCCACATAGATAATAAACATGTACTTTCCCTTGGATCATACAACTGACAAGCAAAACTTATTTCAATCAGCACAGACATTCATGTTGTGAATAATCACAATGCACAAGATTTACTCTTTGGATTAGTTTGTTAAAAAATTATCAAATAGTGAAAAGAAAAATTAGTTAATAAACAATACACGTCTCGACCACGTTCTCAAGAATCTGTAACAGGATTGTGCATAATTTGGAACAAGTGTCATATTTCCACTAATAGCTGGTGAATAATAAGTAGAATGGATTATGACAAAACCTAAATAACCTGATTAATTTACTTAGAGGCAGTGATGCGCAGCATCTCACTTTCTAGGCTTAACAAGTTAAACATTTTAAAGTACAAATAGAACACGATATTACGAGAAAATAATACATAATACCTATTCACAACTAAACAATTACACTCACAGAGTTTACGTCAGTTGATAAAATGCCTTCAAAGTTCTTCAACTGAGGTGCAACCATTCTGCAGAAGTTGTCACAGTCATGTTTCCAATGAGATGCATAAGTCAATCCACCACATGAGAGTGTTAACAAAACAACATTTGATATGATGTTACACATAAAAGTTTCTTTCATGGCATAAAGCAAGTTATATCACACTTCAAAACCAATAAATTCCATGGCATGGAGAAACAGAACACAAGCAAAATGAGATGACATGAACCTATTCTTTATGTCTGCCTCTCTTCGACCAAGTCTGGGAGCAAGCATTGCATCTGGAAGCAACGTCCTCCACAGTGCACGTAGATATGTTGGATAAAACCTACAATGAAAAATACAACAATTCAAAAACCTAACTACACATGTATTAGCTCAATACATGTTACAATTATACCATTATGGTGTTGCATGCTGCTGCTGCTCTAGCAGTGGCGACCTTTCCTGTGGTAAATATAAAGAGCAGGTTAAAACTAGCAGTGTCTGAAAGCAAATCTCAACTGAGTACTCTTCAAATCATAGTACATTTTTGGAAGAACTTGCCTAGCCAATTCTCGGAACTCATTCACATTGACAGGTTCGGAGGCCATTTATCCTGGGAACATACACATTGATCAATCATAGCTTTCGAGTTTCGAACAATCCATCCTAGATGATACGACATAAACATCGGAAACTACAAGGAAAGGGCTATAGATTTTACTTAGAATCTACAGAACTGGATGAACATCCATTGCAATTTTATAATGGACATTTCAGATGGAGGGGAGAGACATGAGGTGCACGAGTAAATGTTCTTGTCACTTGAGCTACGAGTCCTTTGTATTTTTATCCTATAATTATGGGCAGCTTTCATCCTCCCTTTTAATCTCATCATCACTTCCATTCTCACTCTCATTTTCCTCTATATTCTAGCACAGAGAATAAAATCTAAAAACTAAAATTGAAATAATTATCAAACAACCCTAAACTTACAATAATTGATAATAGTGGGATAATATCGTTAAGAGTGTTTTTAATTTTTATTTTCAAATTTGTTAAGTATTCAATGAACTACTAGTACTTCATACTTATTTTATTAAATTGGATTGTAGCAGCATTTGTTTAAGTTGGGGTAATTTAAGGAATTTTAAATGTTATCTACACTTGTGAAAGAAGCTATTTGAGTGTGTGCAAATAAACAAGTGCAATCACATGGTATTAAACTGTCATTAACACAAAAAATTAATATAGATACTTTGGTTCAGTTTTGGAGGTCCAAAAGTAGGGCAAATTGAATTGTAACAATAAAAATTGCGTTTTAGTTTTGCTCTATCAAAGATTACACTTTTTTGTGTGTAAAAACTGAAGGACAATGATCTAACTGGTTTCGATTGGTTGGTCTTTTGCCCACCCTTAGGACAATCTAGTTTTTTAAATTATTTTTTTAATCAAAGAGAAATTTTATTAGATAAACTTCAATGGTACAATCAAAGACATCACAAGACATCTAAAGTGCATCCCAAGAGGGCAACAAACTAAAATGCTAAAAGCAAACTAACGCGGACAAAAGCCGCACTAAAATTACTAGCCGACATCACCAAATTAACCACAAACCCAAACAAAGCCCACAAATCCAACATAATCAAAACCCTAAAACAACACATGAGCCTAAACGAACCTTATCACCACCACCTGAAGAAGCACCACCGCAGTCACATCCACCACCACATCCGTAACAGATTTGGAAAAAATATGAATTCTAACAATCTACCTATGCATAAGAGCGAACAAATAAATGAAAATAACAACCTTGCCAAAAAAACGAGATTTCTATAGACTCTTCCACTTTGATACATGAAATTGAGGACAAACTTTTTAAACTTTCCTTTTTTTGTCTGTATATTATTTACTATTGTAAGATTGATTTTTATTTTATTTTAAATCTTCAATATCGGTTTGGCCATCTCATACATACAATTCTATCTTTGCTCATGGAATTACCCTATTGAGAATTTTCTCATTCTCAAGCATCCAGAATTAGCACATCTTATTAATATACATATATATATATATATATTTGAATTAACGCGTCACATTTTGACAATAAAAACTTATACATAACAAATTTTGTTTACATTTACGCTACTATATTGTCACAGATAGTTCCATTTTGACAAGAAAGTTTTTGACGGCGCAGTTTAATGCGATATAGTCTCATTTTGACAAGAAAGTCTTTGATGACGTAGTCTAATGTGACAGTCCCATTTTGACCAGAAAGCCTTTGATTGTGCAATTTGATGTGATAATCACACTTCGACCATTCACTAAAAAGGAAGACTCATGTATTGGGGTTTCGCCCGGCCTTACACTGATTCCACCCCAAATCCAGAGGATCCCTTTTCTTGTGAGACCCTAGCATGTATAGCTTGATCGAACCGCGGCACCAAGAGTCAAGACCTTCTCCACCTCGACACGCATTTACTAATCTTTCACGTGCCAATCCTCCTAATTTCCCTTTTGGTCCCCCCTTCCTCTTTTACTCTAAATTCAGTTTCTATCTCACTTTCTCCTCAGTGCAAAACTCTCATCTCTTTTGATTTAGCTCTCTCATTAAGCACGGATTGCTTTCTCAAATTTATCGACCTTCTAACAAAGTTGCAAAACCCTACAAACTGCGTGAGGTAAGCTTATCGATTTCACTGGGTACTTTGGTCATCTTTCTAAGTTTTTAAAGTTCTGACCAACCCCTGTTATGGTTTTCAAATGCACGTAATCGATTTTCACTTGAACCAGCCTCACCAGTCTTTTGCTATCATGGTTCATGCCGATTCCATGGGTTTGTGTAGCAAGTCTCACTACACTCTGCATCATGAGGTAACCTTATCGATTTCAGTGGGTAATCTCTCATCTTTCTAAGTTTTTTTTAAAAAAAATTCTAACCAACTCTTCTGCTATCATATGGTTCATGCCTTAAAAATTCTAACCAACTCTTCTGCTATCATATGGTTCATGCCGATTCCATGGGTTTGTGTATATCAAGGTAACCTCTCAACTTGTTTGATTTATAAATAACATAATTTGCATGCTGTGATTATTAATAAACATATATTCTCACAAAACGGCCCCTCTATTAAGGCCTGAAATGTTCTCGGACATGTTTTCTAGTCAATTTGCAGCTTTTCTTTTCAAAATGTTCTGATGATAAATATTTCATATATTCAGGGAACTTCACTTTATATTTGTGGTTAATATTTCCATGGAAAGAAGTTGGGTTATGAATTATGACGATTTAGGTTTTTAAATGATAAGTCTCTAACAAAATTTAATTAAAATAGAAAGCATGCATCACTTAAGTTAGGAACTTTCATTAATGCTTGTTAATTATATTAGAAGACACATTGCTTATATTAGGAGTTTTCATTAATAATACACTTAAATCAGTTACGGATGTGGTGGTGGAAATCATAATTAATGCTAATTGTTTTTTTAATATAGAGATGAACCAATTAAAAAATAGTTATAGCATTTATGACTCCCTAAACTAGACAGTTTGATTGGAGTTAAAAAAGTTTATAGAGAGCTCATAAAATAGATTTTATATGTTTTTAGCTAAATTTTAACTAAAAAATAGATAGCATGATTGTAGATACTTTTACTTATCATTGATTTTTGTTTATTTTTACTGTACAATTTTCTTTTGCATGAAAACCTGAAATTGTTATATCGGACTATTTACCTTTATAAGCTTCTTCTTCTTTTTGTTTTGTTTTTTTGTTTAATACAAGCGGGCTAGGCCCCGTTGGCTCCTTCATAAGCTAGTATTTATGTTCTCTTACATGTAATATACTAGAAGGATTTTCATATTTGTCAATTGAACAATATTTAAATACCAATGGGGTGTTAGTTGGATTGACCCAGGTTTTTGGTGTGCTTTCAAGTAGTCATAAGTTCAAACTCCTGTGGTATGCGTGTGTGAGTTTTTCCCTTTTCCCTTCCTAACTTTTGACACACACAAAAATAAAAATACTTAAATAAATTTCTTGCCGTATGCTAAAATTGAGAAACACTTGAATTGGGATAACACTGTTTTGCTATCTCCAACCAATCGCGATGGCTAAACTCCACATTTTTATAGGGCATTCTAATTGATTTTTATTTATATTAGAGCGGATACAATAGTAGCTAGCCCATTCTTATGGGATTCCTTTTACAATTAGAACCACAAAGACAAAGGGTACGATATTTCTTTCTAGTTTGGAACCCAAGCAATATGACCCTGGGGAAGATAATGGCAGACCGGGACGGTTCCTGGCTTAACTTTGACCTCTTGTAAGGGATGATTCTGGGGGTTCCATGCAGATGTGTCCAGGTGGCAGATTGCTACTGCGTTAGCGGTAGTTCCGTCAGCACCTTGCAGAGGCACCGCATAAGCCCTAGTTTGTCCAAA